AGGAAACATATATAACATATAATAAAAAAATAATATAAGAAAAACCATATAACCCCCTAATGAAATTTATTATATTTACAAGTTACACTGTCTACATTATTTTATTTTTAAAGTAGTATACTATGTTATTTTCCTACTTGCATAGTCATATAGAATACAAAATAGAACATATCATGTAGAATAGAACTTGCATATTGAATAGATCACTAAGAATCCATTTTATGCATTGTAATGAGGATCTATACTATATACACTTTAAAACAGAAGAGTAAGCTCAACGGGTGAGATAACGACTCTAAATCCTTCCTTAAACTACAGTTATTACAATTTTAACCGCTATGCAAGGACAAAGATTTATCAAAATTTTACAAATATCTTGTCACAGATTTGATGATAGCATAACGAGGCATAATAAGATCCAGTGAAGATAACAAAACAGAGCACCACAACTTACAAATATTGGAAGGATCGCCGTCGAATCACCTCACCGCCTCTCCTACTCTGACGTTTTCTTCCGTGACCGACCACACCTTTAAGAACGGTTTTCTCCTCCACAAAAAATCTCCATGAATATATCTGGGGCATAGTCTTGTACAAATCTGAGAATGAATCTATTCATATTTCCTAATTTTAATAAACAAAATATTATTTTGAGAGTATCTGTGAAAATAATGAAGACCACGTTTTTCTTTTACAATCATTAATCATTAAGTAATTTTTTATTCTTTACAAGTTTCACCGATAGAAAGAAGAGAATATTACATCTCAAGTCACTTTTCATCTTTATAATATCATAATAGATCACATGTTGCTACTCAGACACTTTTGCTCACATTTCCTTTGTTACCAAAAAAAAAAAAAATTCTGTGAAATTCTAATTATATCCTTTTCCCTTTTCTAAGTTTTTCCTTCTACGACACCTTTTTCTCTGCCGTCAACCACTTATCCCATATATATTCCTTCGTCTTCTACTCCTCCATCTGATTTATGTTCTTCCTCCAACTCCATCTATTCCAATTACACTTGAATCTCTCTCTCCTCTTTCTTAATTGAGATCTATTACTACTCACAGATCACTTACTCAAAATTTTTTATCTTCAGTTTTAGAACCACCGTCAAATCCCTTAGAAGGCAACAGAGGATGGTCTCCTCAAACTCCATCTTCCCCTTTCCTGTTTCAGATGGATTATTAACAGGAGCAGTGGCTGGAATCAACATCGGAGAAGTTAGTTTGTTTGTGATATTAGCTCTGGTTTGTCTTCTTTGTGAGAAGAAACAAAGAAGAGATGAAGAAGATGATTACTCAGCTCCTCATCCACTTCTTCATGATCGCAAAGGTATTAGTTTGTTAGAAAGTTTCAATCTTTTTGTAGAAATTTTATTAATTTGTACAAAGTTTCAATTTTTTTTGTGAAATGTTATTAAATTTTGAGAAAGTTTCAATCTTTTTTTGGAATTGTTATAAAGCATGTACATATGGACAGCCGTACATATGTACACTAATCATTTAACATAATGTAACATTGGCTATGGCCTTACTATGAAGAGTCTTGATGATGTTTAATGAGAAGTGGATGTTTAATCAAGTTTGTCTCAGGTCATGATGAGAATCAACTCTCTATTTCTTCTGGAAGTTGCAAAACTGCAATTGTTTATGAATCAATAAAGTGTACACATGAAAATATAGTGCAAACATGTACATGTGTACAACTGCAACTTAGTATACACATGACACTTTTGTTGTATTTCTGAATAGTTGTATTTCTGATACATATCTCATCTTGATTGGTGCCTACTGATTAGAAGTATCCTTAGAATCCATTTGGTTTTGTGATTAGATAAGATTATGGTTTCAAGTCTCAAGCTTTTCATTCCTATGAACCCTTCGTGTCTTGTGTCTCAGGTTTTCAGCAACAGCAAGCATGACATGGTTCAGTTACGATGATAGAAAACAATTATTCTCATGTTGATCAAGTGCTTGTTCCACTTTTGTTTCTAAGGTCTTATGTGCTGAAAAGTTTGTATCTTTTGTCTCTCTCTATAGTGTAAAAGTTTCTATCTTTTGTCTCTCTTTATAGTGTAAAATGTGTACATTTGTAGAAATTATGTACACTTGTAGAAATTGTATCATTGTACATGTGGATAATAATAAGCATGTACATGCAGAAACTACTTGTACATATGTTTTACAATATTTAACATGACAATGGTGAATCTAAAGAGAACAATGGATGTACATTTGATATTCATATTTGGTTAGAATTTTCACTAAGCATTTTCTATTTCCTTTTGTTTCAATGTAAAATTTGAATGTATTTTATTTTTTTCATGGATGCAAAATTGAGGATAATGTGTACATTTGATAAATGATACTTGTATATGTGTATACCAAAAATATATAGTTTTATAAATGTGTATACTAATAAAATTCTGTACACAACAATAATTGTACACATGTACAAAAAAATAATTGTACATTGTCGGCAATTCAGTTTTGCTTTATTTTATTATATTTTTAATGAGTGGCATTTTTGTAATAAACTCGTCACTTTCATATTAGGGTTTTCAGCGAATTCTGCAACTAATCTTGAAGCAGCCATTGATTTTCTTCATAGCTATCTTCATTTTTTGTGCGTTTAATTCCATAACTTTAAGATATTGTATATATTAACCGATTACAATAAAAAAAACAGGCAATTACAAGTTTTCCTTAATTTTGAGTTTAGACTGCTTCCAATCCAAATAAACACGATGGCTCTTCTCCCCCAAAGAATTTATCCGCCACTTTTCGGGTCACCACGACCTCGTCTCTGGTCAATTAGTTTTTTCTTCCATCACTTACACTGCTTCTCCATCCCAAATTCGTAAGCTAATATCCAATGTTTGATCAAATTAAAAGGATTTCTCAAGTAAGACAAAAAAAAAAAGAAATTATAGGCTTTGGGGTTATTTTGGTATTTAGCCATTCAAAAAGTGCCTGAGTAGTCTAAAGTGACTTATTGTGATGTTTAAAGTCATAATGTGACTCATTGTGTTATTCTCTCTAGAAAGAAAGGGTATTATGGTAATATTATAGAAAGACATGTGGTGTATCTGTGTATTAGGGAAATTGACTACAAAATGAATTATATTTTTTTGTCCGTTTATACAGCCCAATTCTCCTTCATTGAAACCATTAACCACTCTTTATCTTTTCGCTTAACCAATTCTAATAAATTTGGAAACAAAGACAAAATACAATGGGATCTTCTTCTTGTCGTACACTCTCCATCATTATGAACTTCGTATGGCAAACCTATAATTATGATATTTGCCTAATATGAAACCAATTTGTCAATGTTAAAACAAATACAATACAACTAAGTATAGAGATTTTTCTACATATATATTTGTCATCTTTGTACCCACCCTATATACATTATTACACTATATGAACATTGATCAGTGGACTTTCTGGGACATATTTTTTCGGCTTGGCGATTAAACTCAGGTCAAGGTGTGTCACTCTCCGTTAGACTATGCTTCCTTCTTGAGCTATTAAAGCCATGGCTGGAGCAACATTATCAAATCGGTTGTACTGGTATATATATTGTTTTTTTTTAATGAATTCTAAATTTAAAATATAATGCATATGAACTATAACTATTCAGTCCCTACATACATGTGCTATATTGTAGATTTTGTAACCATGGTGAGTAACAAAAGATCTTTATTTTTATTTATATTTGTAATAGTTTATATTACTAACAACTAGAGATAATAATAATAATGATTTAGCATAAAATATTTGTTATAAATATTTGGTATTGCTAACAATTTATAAGATAAGATAACATGTTGAAATGTTTTTCAAATAGAAAAGGTATTATTACAGAAAATAGGTTTTACTAATATTTTTGTAAAAAAATATATAATAAATATATTTCAATAAAAACCAACAACATTTTCCATATAGATTTTAAACTTTATAATAAAACCCGCACGGGCGTGCGAGTCCAAACCTAGTAAATTCTTTAAAAGCATAGCAGCTATGAAATTGAGAATGAATCAAAATGTAAATAAAGAAAATCAAATTTTCTTTTTTTTTCATATTTAACGGACAGACATATCCGTTTTCAGTAAAACACACATAATTTTTAGTCTATTGTTGGGTCTACCTCAGATTGGTAACACTGAAAAGATAACTCAAAGTTTGTATTTTGTATCAAAATTTGAGATCAATTGCACCGTGGAAAATCGTCCATCCGTTGATAGTGCATCTACACAGTTATACATCTTTAATGGTCGTTTTCCATTTGGTTTGATTTTTTACATTCTATTTCAACCTAGTACACGAAAAGATTCTACAAAAGATTAAAGCAATCTAAAAGACACACTTTGAATCAGTAAGCGATTCAAAACAAATGTTAGGAATAGACAAAAACACCGTTCAAACATATGTGACACATATATTCAAATATTCCGCAAACCTAAGAAATTAATTCACATTTTTAACATCCATTTACATTTACATATTTATATAAGATAAGTTGATACGGTCGTGCCTAGTCACTTAAGAAACAATCAAACCAAAACAAACAGTTTCACATTGATATAAAGACAAACTGAGGGAAGATAATCATAAAACAAACATTTTATGTATAACTTGTGCACACAAAAAATGTATAATTTCTCGACACTTGCCATATCAAACTTCAAATGGATAATTGTTCTTTAGAAATCAAAACATAGTGTACTTTTTATAATTGAAAGCCATATCAAACTTCAAATGGATAATTGTTCTTTAGAAATAAAAACAAAGTGTACTTTTTATAATAGAAGTATACCATAAACATGGTGCGTTGTGGGAGCACGATTTGTTTTTTGTTTTTAAAACCTCAACCATTTCAAACAACATTTTCAAATTTCTGAGATTTACAGGACTACTTCAGCACGTAAACTCATCTATAAATTCGTCGCATTGTCTTATATGTTTCTTACCTCTCAACTAAAACCATATTACAAAAGAAAACACTTCTCTAATTCCGGTTCACTTAATAAATGGCAATGAAGAGTCTCTCCTTTCTTGCAGTTCTATCTCTTCTGGCCTTAACACTTCCATTAGTCATTTCCTCTGATCCAAGCCCCGTTCAGGACTTTTGTATTGGCGTCAACACCCCAGCAAATGGTGGTATGTACATGGAGATTTCCTAGTAGCTTTTCCTTTCATTTTATCATTCATTTATCATTTCTTACTCTCTTTTTTTTGTGTTACTATTATCAGTTTTTGTGAACGGAAAGTTTTGCAAGGACCCAAAGGTCGCAACGGCGGATGACTTCTTTTTCTCAGGGCTTCACAATGCAAGACCAGTAACTAATGCAGTTGGTTCCAATGTGACAGCCGTCAATGTTAACAACCTACCAGGATTAAACACCCTTGGAATCTCTCTTGTCCGTATAGACTATGGAGTGAACGGGCAGAACCCTCCTCATACTCACCCACGTGCCACCGAGATCCTTGTTCTCCAAGAAGGAACACTTTTGGTAGGTTTTGTCTCATCAAACGGAGATGGAAATCGCCTCTTCACCAAAACACTGAGCAAAGGTGATGCATTTGTGTNAGAAGGACTCATCCATTTCCAGTTTAACGTGGGACGGTCTCCAGCGGTTGCATTCGCTGCTTTGAGCAGCCAAAACCCAGGTGTTGTCACTATTGCCAACACCGTCTTTGGGTCTAACCCACCTATAAACCCTAATGTTCTTTCTAGGGCTTTCCAGCTGGATCCTAGGGTTGTCATGGATCTACAGAACAAGTTCTGACCATCATCATGATATAACATTGTGTGTTTCGATTTCTTTCATCTCATGTATTCGTCTAAATAAGGATCATGTATTTTCCCGTTTATTGTAATGTAATGTAATGCTATTTTGTTTGTTACTTTTAGCTTCAACTTCCGCAATGACCCAATTGTTTTTTATTTCATCCACAATGAATAGTAATATTCGTGATACAGTTTTCAAACGAAGTAGTTAAATACAATATATATATATATAGTTGGAAAGGTGAAGAAATTTGAATGTACACTAATGCACGTGAGATTATTCATAGTATTTTTTTTCTTGAAACAAAAGACTATTCATAGTATAACTCATGTTTTTCTTATAAAACGTGATGACTAAAATATACTATTATACTAGGATAACATCCGCGCCTTGCGTGGGATAAAATTATTATTTACATTATGTTTTGGATAATGAAACAATAGTTCGGTCTCATTTGGATTGGAGTGTTCAATTCGGATATCGGTTTGTTTTGGTTCGGTTCTATTTTTTTTTTTGGTTTTTGGTATTTCGGTTAATGTGTTTCAAAATAAAAAGGTATTTCGGTTAGTAAAATATAACTATTATTCTAAATCTAATTTACTTTGGTTCGGTTCAGTTTTTGTTTTATTCATTTTTTATACCAAAAAGCATAAATATTTAGTTTGAGATCATATCATGTATTATACGAATTTTAGGTCATGTTGTCAAAAAGTCATTTATTAAAAAATTTATATATTTAAATAAAAGAATATAAAACAAAAAATGCTTCTAGCATCTAATAAAATAATCAAATCTAAAATTAATATGAAAGCTCTAAATTTTGAAAAAAAAAACAAAAAAAAAACAAAACAGAAGCACGAAAGAAAAACATATTCCACAACTTTTTTAATGTTTTATTTTAACATCACTAAGAACCATTTTAATGGTTTTAGAGCCAGCAGCTTACTATTATTTTCAAAATTGAATTACTTTGACCTTAGTATTACATAGTTTTGAAGGGTTTCAACTGGACGCTAAATTAACACAACTAATTTTCTTGGTTTAAGTTGTTAGCTGAATATATATATATATATAATTTAATTTGAATATTTTTAAATAAAAATCTATATTAATACAGTTTTATGATCATTTGTATCTTGTTATAACAGAACAAATTAATCAATTGATCACAAAAATTTCAAAGTGGGATTTAGATTTTTAATAATTTATATCCGTTTTAAGAAATTCAAAATATAACATATAAGAAAATATCTATTTTTATTATATGGTTAATGTGATTGTTTAATATTTTTAATAATATAAAGTTAAACAAAAAAGAGCTAAGATACAAGTTATCAAATATTTATTATTCATAATCATTTATTGTCACAAATACTTTAATCATATTAGGTCAATTCGTAGTTGTTATTTAAAGAAAGTGTGAGAATTTTTTTTGTATACTATTTATCAATTTAATAGTTAGTTTAAGAAAAAATATAATATAAATTAAGATGGACCAGCCTATTTTCTAAATTAATATATAAGGGATGTTACATCTTTGATCATTAATTTTAACATAATACTTTTAACAGTTTTAATAATCTATTGTCATTTTTTTAAATTCAAAATATAATATATACAAAAAAATCTAAATTTTAATTTTATAACTAATTGGATTGTATACTTTATTTCAATAATATAAAATTAGATAAAAATGATGGAGGAGATATAGATTGTTATCAAATATTTATTATTAGAATCATTAAATATCATTTATGTATTAGCCATATTTGGTAATTCTGTTGTTTTTATTTAAGGAAATAAAATAAAATAATTAATATCATATGATATCATATGATATAACACTTTGCTTTATGGTATTAAATGTTTCTAGTGAGATATAAAAATTGAATTGAACCAACATGTTTTTCAATTTGAATGTGAGTCTGACACGTAGGATTAATTAACTATCTAATTGATTGACACATAAGCAAGAATAACTATCTAATTGATTGACACATAAGCAAGAAGTCTTTTTATTTTTAACAAAATTGAAATTACATCTTTTCAAATGTTTCTCAATTAATATATAGGAGATAATATATAGATTAAAACATATTCAAGTCCTTAAAATATTTTATTATCCTTGTTTGGAAACTCGTTATACGTTCTCGTACGCTCAGGGTGGACCTAATGCCTAAAGACAAAATCAGAGATTAGACATAAATTAATCAGAAATTAATTTTAGGGATCCCATATATATTAAAAGAGAAGCATTGTAATAAATGTATTCACATAGTAATTGATAGGCCTGGAGATTCGGGTATTCAGTTTAGTTTCGGATAGTAACCATTCGGTTCTGGGTATATCGGATAAATTATTCATATACCCAATAAGTACTTATGAGATTTCGGTTTGATTTTGGTTCGGTTCCGATTCGGTTCCGGTTAGGTTTCGGATACCCGTTAAATATATGAATCAAATATATATATACAAAATATTTTAGAAAATATGTTAATTTAAATGATCTACTGTTTACACGTTTATATATTCGTCAATTTAGCAAGAGTTCGAGTCAATAAAGTATTAATTTTATAAATATTTACTATATTTTAATATAGAATACCATATATATTTATAATATAAGAGTACATAAAAATAACATGTTCTGATGGTAACAATGTTTTCATTCTTCATATCCAATATGGATTCAAGTGGGCTTGATGTCATTTGCCTTATACTAAAAAGTTTAAACTTGTTTTTTCGGATATTCGGGTACCTATCTGGTTCTCGGTTCGGTTCCGGTTCTGGTTCGGGTTTTCAGATATAGAAATATAGGAACCATTCGGATATTTGAGGATTTTGGTCCGATTTCGGTCTCAGGCTTTTCAGTTCGGTTCGGGTTCGGTTTTTCGGTTCCGATTTTTTTACCCAGGCCTAGTAATTGACACGTGTCAATTTCACTAACGTTTTATTTTTAGAATGCTCACGTGTTAGTTTCATAATTATTTGACATCTAATGCGTTTACGCACTCATTTTCTCAATCATAATTTAATGTGTTCATACACTTTTTTTTCAATTCAGTTTTAGTTTCTACATTTTTAACATTTGTATTAGTGAATTAAAATTCTCTTTATGTTACTAATGAATAATATCATTATTGAAAAAAATAAAAAATCATTAAAATTCGAATCAACTAAAAGGTTGTGATAGAAATGTTTATAGAAATTGAAAGTTCTATACCTTGCCGAAGTTGGTCATGGTTAAGATTTTCTATACACGAAAACAACAAAAAATTATGGCTGGCTATGAATTAAGAAACTGAGATGAAAACACCACACACAAAGTAGGATCTTTAATGTAGCTAAATATTACTTTTTTACAAGGTTTTCATATTAGACCAAAAAATAGAAACAAGATCATATTGGTAGAAAAAAATCAGCAATTAGAAAACCTTTACAAGATTTTTTTTTCAAAATCAATTAAACAACGTAATTTAGGTACCGAATGAAGAGATCACATCGTAATATATATTATTTTATTGTTTATGGATACAATTTAATTTTCCTTATATGAATTTTGTTTTACTGATTTCTATGTTTATTTTTTTTACTTTATTTATTTTAAGAATTTTACTATCAGGTGTTATTTTGAACCAATTAGTCTGATCAAAATAAAAATTAAGCCTAAACAATGGCTGACAATTTAGAAATAAATCAAAAGGCAGGTACGAAATTGAGACTAAATCAAAATGAAAAGGACGAAAACCAAATTTTTTTCGTATTTAACCAGCAAACATACCAGCTTTCGGTAAAATATACAGTCTATCGTTGGGTCGATCTCAGATGGTGGTATTGGAAAACTAATTCAAAGTCTTATTTTGTATCGAAATTTGAGATCAATTGTACCGTGGAAAAATTTTCCATCAGTTGCTAGTCTATCACACATCTACACAGTTATGCATCTTTAATTGTCATTTTACATTCAGTTTAATATTTTCTGCTTAGAATCAACCTAATACATGAAAAGATTCAACAAAAGATTAAAACAATCTAAAAGATACACTTTGAATCAATAAAAGTAAAAAAAAAAAAATTGAATAGACAAAAAAATGTTCATTTTCTTTTGTCGTCAGACAAAAACACCGTTCAAACTAATGTGACATATATATTCAAGGGAAATTTGTTTTTTTTAGACCAAAATAATTAGTACATTATCCCTTTAGGCTAATTTCATTATGTAGTTGTCCTATTATGTTAAATACTCTCTAAATGGTAATAATACCCTTAAATTTAGTTTACTTATTCCAATTCAAAAATAATAATTATAAAAAAAATTAAAAAATTAAAAAAAAAACTTTAGATTTAATAAAAAAACAAATTAAAAATTAAAAAAATTCAAATATTTTATTCCCAAATTTTTGAAATTCCAAATAATTTAAAAATATATACATATACCACATATTTTTAAAAACATATTTACAAATATTAAAAAAATAAATTCGAGATTAAAAAATATTTCCAAATTTCAAAATAAATAAAAACTAATTCGAAATAAAAAAAATTACCCAAAATTTTTTTCGAATATGTTTAAAAACTAAATCGACTTAAAAAATATTTCAAAATTTCCAAATAAATAAAAACTAAATCGAAATAATCAAATGTCCCAAAAAAAATATTTTAAAAACTAATTCGAAATTAATAAAAAATCGAAATAATTTGTTCTCAAATTTTCGAAATTTCAACATTTTTTTTTAAAAAAACTATCTTTCCACATTTTTTATAACTATTTGCAAATATATTTAATATATATATATATATATATATATATATATATATATATCTGAATTTTTATTTTGAAAATATTTGGAAATATGTTTTTGAAAATATTTGAAAATATTATTTTGAAAATATTTAGAAATATTTATTAGTTCGAAATTTGAATTAGACAATAAATATTATATTTTTTTGAAAAATCCAATTTTAATATATGGTAACTGAATATTTCCAAATATTTTATTCCCAATTTTTTACAACTGATTGTTTTTATCCGTAAAATATGTATTCTACTATATGTATATAAGAATTTTTGAAATCAATTTCAAAAAGAAAAGAAGTAATTTTTAGATTCTAATATTTATTGATTTTAGAGGGATAGGTTAAGTGAACAATATGTATTCCAAATAGTTTTAGATTATTATTATTTACTTTGAACATAGTAGATTTTATGAAAAAATTGGATTTCATATTCTACTTCGTAGAATGCCAATTATAATATTTTTAGAACAAAAATGAAATTATGAGTTAAACATTTTATTAAAAATGGGAAAAATACTCTAAATTGATATAAGTATTTCATCATTAGTTACTATTTTTGAATTTTTGTTTGTTCATAAAACTAATTATTTGATTAATTTCTGAAAATAGTTGAAGGCATTATAGTCAAAAATGGTACAAAATATAAATTAACCTAAAGAGACAATGTCTTAGTTGTTTTGGCCTAAAAACAATTTTCCCTATATTCCGAAAAACCCAGAAATATTAATTCAAATTTTGACATCCATTTACATTTACATATTTGTATACCCATTAGTTTTAATATACTACTAGTGTTTTAATATATGTGGCTTCAATATTTTTATCTTAAAAAATTAAATTTTTTTATGTTAAAAATTGTTAGTCTAACACAATTTTTTTAATATATATACAAGAAACATTATAATTTTTATTATCTTGATAATTATAACATTGCGTCAAAATGATAGAGAATTTGGTGTTATTTAGCAGTAAGGAGACATTGGTGTTATTTAGCAATAAAAATGATTGTAGTTAGTTGTTGCTAAATAGAACAACTGTAGCAACCACTTTATCTCTAGCCAAAGCATAGCTATTTAGCTACGGATCACCAACAAAATTGTCTCTAGCTATATAGCTATAGATTGCAACAACTAGCTACAAAGTTGAAGTTATATGCTCTATTGCTACATCTATG